TTTAGATCTACTTTAGATTTTTAGAATAATTAAAAAGCAGTAGAGTTATCATTAATAAATATTTCAATTAAAGATGATGAATAAATTAATTTGGAAGCACTTTTTTAATCAAAACTATTTTCATAGATAAATTTTTAAAATGTTTCATTTTTAGATACAACTTTATCTAATTCATCAATTTTGAACTTTGAAACTATGAAACTTAATGGTGTTCTTAAAATAAATGAACTCTAATTTACAAATTGTATAATTACAAATTCTAAATTATTCAAATTTTTAGATCATAATTTCACAATATTAGTAGAAAATTTAATTATTTCAAAATGTGAAATTTATAACTCATTTATTTTTGTATTCAACTCCAATGAAAGAATGAAAAGCAAATTTACATTTAATAATTTAATTATTTAAAATAGCAAATTTTATAACTCTTCATTTTTTTATAACTCTCTCTCTATGGATTTGATAATTAACAAAGTGGAATTAAAATAAAATATTTTTGATTAATCAATCATATAATTAATTCAAATTTCATATTTATTTTATTTTTTAAATATTTAAAATATTTATTTTTATATTGCATTCTTCTTTATTTGACATTAGGTAAAATTAACAAATTAATAGTTGTTAAGTATAATTGAATGATTTTAATTTAAGTAACAATATTGATTAAAGTATTTTCAATAAAAATCTAGCTTTATTTTAAATAACATGTTTTAGTTTAATAATTAAAGATTTTGAAATAATTAATACAAAAAATTTAAGAATATTTTATCTACAAGAAACAGATATAATTCAAATACAAAATTTGATCTACAAAACATATGGAGATTAAACCAGAATTCCAGTATTTTAAGAATGTTAAGAATAAATTTAATAAAATAATTAACTTTTACTAATAATAAATTTTTTACAAATAAGTTTACAAAATTTATAAATAACAACGTAATCCACTTTCGATTTATCTTTAATACAAATTATCTCTAATGTTCAAGTTTTTAATTAATAAAATGCATCTATTTAAATAAAAAATGTAGAATTCTTTGGGAATGTATAATTATAATAAAAAGAAACATCATTTTAATCTTTATTAATGATTTTTTCAGAATCAAAAATTTTAATAATTTTAGAAAATCTGCAGTTTAAGGAAAATATTTTTCATTCATAAACCTAAGAAATACAATATGCCTCTTGTTTATTATGTATTGTTTCAAAAGCAAGTAAAGTAGAAATTTTGAAATTAACATCAAGAAACAATGCAATAACAAATTCCTCTCATACTTTTATTTCTATAACATCTAATTCATTACTCATTAGAAACATGGATATTCAAAATAACAATTTTTTAAATTCTATTCTTTGGTAAAAATATTACAAACTAAATTTAACTTCTGTCTTTAATCAAGATTAAACTAATTAAATAATTATGTAAACAATCTAAATATTAAACGTTGGAGGAGTGGCAAAAATTGAAACACAGAATTTTAGTTGTTATAATAGCACCTTTCAAAATATCTTAGCCTTAAAAAGTCTTATTTTTGATATAACCATTTAAGGAAATTCATTTATTATTCTACATGATATCATATTAACAGCTATAGAAAATAATTTATAATAATAAAGTGAAAGTTCTGGTTGCATTTGTATTTTATCTTTAAATGGATAATTAAATATAGATATCCAAAGAATTAAATTCTAAAATGTTTAAACCAGAATTTCAACATCTATTTTTACTATTGTTCCATCTATTTTTAGAA